GACCTCATGGGGGTATTCTGACTCAAAACAGATGACTGACTGGCCACTAATGACTAAATTTGTAACATAAAATTGGATTTGTAACACTATTAGATCTGTAACACAAAAGTCTATGGGCTACCTACCACCTGCTAACTGGACAGATTTGTTACTTTGATAAATCGATAACTGCCTTCAAGCAGTCCCACATATCTAGGGTCCATTTGATTCATCAATTTCTTAGAAAAAGAGATTAGATAACAATGAAAGAAGAAAATTGGGCCTTGATTTGAACTGAAACCCTAAATCCTTATAAAGAATTCTGCATTGCATTCTTTTCTGCTCTGAACTCTTTACTTCACTTTACAAGAGGCAGAGAAAGTAGGGAGACATGAGAAAAGCAGGATAGCTAAAAAAAGCTACCGCCGTAGTACTCATCTGATATAAATGCTGGTGTACTGAGAGGGGCATGTGCTGTTTTAGGGGGGGAATGGTGTGTTTGTATACCTGCAGACCTCTCTAGGACACACACTAAAAATATCACAAAATTAAGTGATTTGGCTAATGAGCCCATATCTGGTGCTGGGCTCATTATACTGGAAATGAAATCTATTCTTCTGGCTTAATTTGGGCACTCCTGGCTTGTGGTTTTAAACCTCTCTTGTTACTTGTCTGTTACAGGATGATCCCAGTTGGGTGATCCCATGTTTTAAATGCTGCTATGAAACTCTTGTTCCATCGCATCATTAAATGATCAATGAAAAGAACGGAAAAATCTAACACTTATGGACATTTTAACACCCATCTGGGAGATGTATCATCATGATGGCATGAATAAGTGGAACAAATCAATGTTTTTCTTTCCCTTCCTCTAAGATTAATTTTTTTTAAATGTTTTTAAAAGAGAGAAAAAAATAAAATTCTAGGAAACTTGCCCAGGAAGCTAAAGTGGCAAATAACTTTGTTCATTTGAAGAACCTCAGAAATTACTCATAAACTGAGGCCTAGAAATGCATTATGATTTGCTCAATGTCACTCAGTTAACTGGTATAACAAATGCAAGAGAATTATTACAAGACAGAATGTGACTTAACTGCCAGAGAACAATTTAAAAAAAAAAAAAGCCTACACTATAGTTTATGCAAAAAATGATTGTGGGCCAGAAAGGATTTACAGAACTTGAACTGACTCTTGAACCAACAAATGGATTGTGAGGCATGCTCATGGAACAACAGCTATTTCTTAAAGTAGTTTCAGAAATATTAGTTGGATTGGGCAGAGGAGATATAGTTAGGAGCATTTAAAATTTCCAACCAAGTATATATTTGATTCTATGGAAGCAGAAAGATATCTAAAGTTTAGAGGAATGGCCAGGTAGCAATATGTTGAATCTTCCCAAATACATGAATGAATATATTCTAATCCACTAGTTTCTATGACATGCCTTATTAAAAACACTGAAACTAGGCAAGTTGTTTTGTTTTTTTAATTCTTAATTACTTGTTATTCTTCAAAGTGGAAATATATTGTCACTGAATTTAAAATGATTCTTAATTATATTTAGATTTAAAAGAAATTTCATATAAATCAAACCTCTATTTGGTCAATTAATTGGTTTCTTATATTTTCATTTTTTGTTTTCATTTTCAGGATACAACCAATCTGAGTTGTGATAGCACAATGAAAACACGTTTAAAAGTAATGCCACACACAGCCAAACAGGTAAAATGGAGGGTCACTGACATCCTTCATGCCAAAATACTGATATTATCACCATTTATAATTCCCAGGTCAAACAGACATTATCTAAATCTACAAGTAGAATATTCAATTTAAAATTTTACTTTTAGAATTATGCAATAGGACCATTCATTTAAATTCCACCCCAAATCAATGATCTTGTTAACAAATGATTCACATCAGAATTTACCTGCTTTGTAAATCATACTTCAGTAAAGCTGGAAAAAATTAAATAACTGAAAGAATTCTACCTTAAACTAGGAATCAATATCCTAAATAACCCTAAAATGAATTAAAATGTTCCAAAACATTATTTTCATCATAATGCAACTAAGTCCAGAACTATGCCTTCTATACATTGAGCTGAATAGGAGACAAATGACTTGAGAAAACTGTCATCAAAAGTATCACTTACAGTAATAAACTTGATTCTTTATGCAGTACCCCAAATCACAAGACTGCAAATACTGTATTCTGATATCTCTGAATATTATTTGCTCCAATATTCTGATGAGTGAAATTTTAAGTATTAAAATTTCCATTTTAACATATAGATTGTTGAATTTTCAGTACTCATACTGAAAAATCACAAGATTTGAAGTCAGAAATTGACTGATTCAAATTGTACCTATTTCTGCCATAGCTGAGCATTCACCCGAAAGATGTCTAATTATTACCTATCATACATTGTAGTTGGGACTAAATGAATTATTACAGTAACTTAGAATAACTCCAATAGGTAATCAGTGAATGGTAGCTATTATTATATATACAGGAATTATCACTGGAACTTTTGTCAGTCTTTCTAAGTATTTAGGTAATATGTGGAAGAACACTGCATTTTCCATCAAAGTGATTTTACAAGATGGAGCTGAATGATTTATTGGGTAATGGGTGGGGATAGAGCGGCAGAGTTCTCTAGGATGCTGGTATTGCACTTTATTTTTTACTAAGTGATCTGTAGCTTACATGCCATGCTGAGCCCCCTTAAACCAAAAATGAAAACAAGAGGTCTGTTAATGGCAAAATGATTCTATATCATTTCTGTGAGCCTCTGATGTGACAGAAAATTGATTATTCACATGTCTACAGTGACAGTCCTATAGAACAGCAAGATGATTTGTTTTCTGAAATATTAAGTCTCTACCTATTCAGCTTACTTTTAATTTTCTGTATATATTTTCTAACACTTAAAATCTTAAAATTTATAATTCTATGTATACTAGAAACTAGAATCCTTGATTAGTGAGAACTATTTTCTGTATCATTTGCTCAGGTAACAGAAAAAGATGTGTATGATTACACATATCAAGTACATAGTGATACAACTATTCACATGAACGCTGTTCAATACAAAGCAAGCATTTCTATTTATTATTATTTTTTTTAATCCTCACCCGAGGATATTTTTCCATTTTTTTGTACAGATAGAGTAGGAGGGAGAGAGAGGAAGGGAGAGAGAGGAAGGGAGAGAGAGAGAGAAACATCGACGTGAAGGGACACATCGAGCGGCTGCCACCCGTACGACCAACTGCAACCGAGGTACGTGCCCTTAGCAGGAACCGAACCTGGGTCTCTCTGTACCGCAGGCCGACGCTCCAATCGCTGAGCCAAACCGGCTAGGGCCAAAGCAAGCATTTCTAAATAACGCAACTAGAAATCACACATCTTCAACTTTAGTGAAGGCTTAGACAAATTTATTTGTGCTTAGAATATTTTTCTAATGCATCACAAAATTACTACACATCCAAACTTCAGTAGTAGAATACTTAATGTTCTAGAGAGGCCTCTAAAGAAAACTGTTGTACATTATGAAACTATGTCTAATGAACTGATACAGAAGCAGAATCTAGATGAGAGGGGACATTATATAGAAACCATCTATTACATAGTAGACAGGTGATTCATTCTGAATACTTACAGTTTTTCCCCTTCTTGTAGCTAATACAGTTTTCTACCCACCCACACTGTCCTCCCTTTTGTTGTAAGGTAAAAACTGTTTTCTAACTCTTTAAGGAGTAAAAATATATTAAATGCCCCATCCTGCTGATGCCCACCTATGAAATACCACACAATAGAAAGCATAGAATATGAAGTTTGTTTTCTCAAACACATACAAACTTTAATTTTAAACATCAAACATACACTGATTTTATAAAACCAATTAAGAACTTTCGGTATGAGGACAAATGTACATTGGAAACTAATACTATAAAAGATGCTTTTTCCTGAGTAGAATGCTAATTTTATTTTCTATCAGATTAAGCTTCTGTGAATTTTCAAAACATAAAATACCATGGCTTTTCCACATCAAATAAAAATCAGGAATGTTGAAAGCTGGAAAGGGGTGGGAGTGGAAAGGAGGGGGTCAATGTGGGGGAAAAGAGGGTGCATCTGTAATACTTTCAACAATAAAGATAAAAAATAAAAACAGAATAAAATTGAGTATCTTATTTTATCTCATAAAAAAAGAATTTTAGCCCTGGCCGGTTTGGCTCAGTGGTTACAGCGTCAGCCTGCAGTCCAGGGAGACCCAGGTTCGGTTCCCGCTAAGGATGCGTACCTCGGTTGTAGTTTGTCCCCAGCCCTGGTTGGTCGTGTGGGTGGCAGCCACTCGATGTGTCCCTTTCATGTCAATGTTTCTCTCTCTCTCTGTTCTTCTCTCTCCCTCCCACTCTACCTGAAAAAAAAATGGAAAAATGTCCTCAGGTGAGGATTTAAAAAAAAAAGAATTTTATATCAGGGAATTATTTTTGCAGGTTAGAGATCTGACAATATTTCTAAGGGGTTCAATTAACTCCAGCATGAGATAAAAACGGTTTTAAAAATTAAGATAGTGCACCGTGGGGCTTAAGGAGGGAAAAAGAAAAAACACAGGACTGTTAGCCTTCACATCAAAAATAAAAAAGTCCAAGTAGAAGTTCAACCAAGAATGATTTAAAGTCTAATGAGGGTCAAAATTTTAAATCAGTATATAGCTCTTCAATTTTAAAGATCCCTCAGTAAACTTCAGTTTGCAACAACAAAATAAAATACTATTTATTAAAACATGAAAAATAGTCCTGGCTGGTTTGGCTCAACAGTTAGAGTGTCGGCCTGCGGACCAATGAGTTGCGGGTTCAATTCCGGACAAGGGCACGTACGTACCTCAGTTGTGGTTCGTCCCAGGGTCGCGCAGAAGGCAACCTGTCGATGTGTCCCTCCCATGTCGATATTTCTCTCTCTCTCTTTCTCCCTCTCTTGCCTTCCCTCCCACTCTACCTGAAGATAAATAGAAAAAAATCCTCAGGTGAGGATTAATAAAAATAATAAAACATGAAAACTATTTCCAGGATATTATCCAATTTGGAAAATGAAAAAATGTAACCCATGGTAAGAAAAATACATTGAACAGAGGAAAAAAAAGGCAACCAACATTTATAGGAATCAAGACACTACCAAGAACTTATAAAAACTTCCTAAATCAGTAGCATATCCTGTAAAAAACTGTAACTAAAATAAGGTAGTTTTTATTAGTTTCAAAATCTATAAATACGAGAAAATTTTGAACTATATCTCTAAAAGGACCACAGAGTTGTCTGTGACTGAAATACTATTTCTTGAGACAATGGGCCAAGTTTCCATTTATGGGAAATATATGTTTGTTTTTTTCTCCACACACTGTTACTGAGAAAAGTTTTATCAAATGAGCAATCTTTTTCTCTAAGTAATCTCCTTAAACACCTCAAAATAATACAATACCTGGAAAATGTAATTTTTCAACTCAGAACAATTTTATTATGAAAAAGATTATTTTAAACATACACAAATCTTATTGCTTGGCACCAGATTCTTCAAAAATTAAAGAATTGTTTAAACCTCCATACAGTTGTAATATCCTATTTCAAACTTTTTACACAGTGCTACTTATATTTTCTGAAGGTAGAACTTTCAATCTAATGACAACACAAACTGAATGCGGCAGTATGTAAGTCACAGTTCACTTCAAACAAAAAGAAATAATTAATCTTCTGTCTGTGTCCAAATCATATTAAGATATTTATAAAAATTAACTAGGATTTATCTGTGGCCGGTGAAGGGCCCACAGAGCGCTGTCTGATGGCATTCTGTGCAAAGTCTTTATTTGTTCCTTCTTTACTTTCAGCTTCCTCTTCTGAAACATCTTCTTCATCGGCCTTGTGTTCCTCCTTCACTTTTTTCAAAGGTTGAGAAGATTCTGGGAATGATTTTTCTTAAAGATAAAGACCACAAATGTTTTCTTGTTGATGAATTAACTTTGCATTAGTATAAAGTCAAGACATGATTCACATACTCATAAACTGCTTTGGCACTTATTTATCACTCATAAGCTTGGATTTCCAAAAGGAAAAAATTATCTTCAAGGATAAGAGATAACATGAAAATGAAAGTTTGTTTGTAAGATCCATTTTACTTACAAAATTCATTATAATTATCTACCTATTTATGAACTGAAATTAGTGAATCAGAATTAATGCTGTGGATATGAATGTTGTAAGAAAATATACTGTAGTAAATATAACTATCTTATATTAATTTGTATTAGATCTTTTCATTAATAAGTACACTGAAACAAATTTCAACACTACCCTGGTTTCAGTTCCCAAGTGAACAGTAATCAGACATTTATAGTTGAAGGTTATATTCCTACGCATGTTTTCTCCAAGTGCTTTCATAAATGTGATCTTCTACTCCATGTGTACTTGTATTAAGATATAATTACAAACAATAAAATACATACATCTTAAGTGCATGAATTTATGCTTAATGAACTTTTACAATGCATATATACACTCTTTTAATTTCTGTATATAGCCTGTTGTTAACGTAAACTTAGAACACAACACGTTAAACTGAGATACAAAACACCGAATTGGGCCAATGAGCTTTACTCTCTTCAGTGGTCCTAGAGTGCCCCTAATCCTAGACAATCCAGAATGGATGGGGGGAAAGACAGGAGCATAAATTAGGAAACTAAGGGAAGAAATTACCACATAGTGGACAATCTGTTCATTGGTCTGTCTGGCATACTCCTTCTGTTTGGCTAATAGCCTCTTCCCTATACCACATCCCACATAGGTAAGGGAGCACTCCAGTTTATGGCACTGGTTCTCCACTGGGAGTGATTTTGCTCCCCCAAGGAACATGTGGTAATGTCTGCAGATATTTTTGATTTTCACAACTGAGAGGTAGTGCTACTGGCAACTAACAGGATGCTAAATATTTAACAACATACAAAAGACAGTCCAACAGCCTGGCTGGTGTGGCTCAGTGTTTGAGCATCGGCCCATGCACCAAGAGGTCACTGGTTCGATTCCCGGTCACGGCACATGTCCAGGTTGTGGGCCTGACCCCCAGTGGGGGGCATGCAGGAGGTAGCTGACCGACGTTCTCTCTCATCGATGTTTCTATCTCTCTCTCCCTCTCCCTTCCTCTCTCTCTAAAATCAATAAAGAAAAAAAATAAAAAAGACAGTCCGACATAATTAAAATTATGCAGCCTAAAAGGTCAATAGTATTGAGGTTGAGAAACCAGGGTTTACAGTGACTGTTCCAAAAAGTGAGCCTTTTACACAAGTGAAGTACACCAGAATTTTTCCAGGGGTGGTTGAGGGTAGGGAAGTGTATTTCCTTTCTATTCTGCAATAATGAGATAGAGTCATTTTATGCTAAGAGCTGAAAAGAGCCAAAAATGGAGCAAGCAAAGGCAAGGAAAATTGAGCAATTCAAAAATATAACATGCTAATATTTGAGTCCTGGGATCCAATCAACTCTGCCCTCAGACTTCCTTGCTGCATAAACCAATAAATTCTTATTTTGCTTAAAGCTAGACTGAGTTGGGTCTTTCCCAAGAAACTCAAAATCTAAGCCAAATACACATACTGGAAAACAACTCAAATCATGTGGCCTATTATTAGAAAGGGCACTATCACATTAAGTATGAATTAATATCTATCGGTTGTGTCACAGATTACTTAAGAGACAAATTTGTTGTTATGGCTGTTTCTGAAGTGAAATAAAGAAATCTGTGTTTACATTTCTTTTCCTATAGGTCACTGGCCCTTAGTAGATAAAATGATTCCCTCCCCTATACATGTTCTTTTTATAGTGTTGATACAACTATCTATAAAATGAAAAGAAAACCTATCAGTTATTCAATGAACAAAGTATACTTTAAATGCAAACTCCACTGACTTCACTTCAGGAGTTCTGACCTCAATAAAATCTAAGTCATGAAAGGTAGCATATGGAAATGCCAGGCCAAGAATCTGATTTAGGTTCTACTCTAAGCTCTGTCATTTCTGTGTGACCTTGGAAAATAGTTTATCTCTCTGAGCCTTCATTTACTCAACCACAAAAATAGGAAGAGTATTGCTTTTACTCAGTCTGCTTTAGAGTGTTGCTGAAAAGCAAATGAGATGACAGAATGGGAAAGTTCTTCACAAACAGCAAATAGGAGGACTTCCATAACAATGTTATTTTAAAGAGTGAAAATAAATGATTGTTAGGTAATTATATTAAGACAGACAGCAGTGACTACTTCTAATTATATAAACTTGTAGCACAGTGTCAATGCCAACATTAAATCAACTTCAGGAAATGCTTTTCCCAATATTCTACCAGAAAAACTTGGGCCTGACTAGAATACAAAGAAAAATATTCAAATGTGGTCACTATAGTAATGAAAGACTTCAAAAGTAGAACACACAATTTTTTTTTTTTCTTTATTGATTTTAGAGAGAGGAAGGGAGAGGGAGAGAAAGACAGAAACATCGATGAGAAAGAACATCAACTGGCCGCATCCTGTGTCCCCCACACTGGGGATTTGGCCCACAACCTGGGCATGTGCCCTGACTGGGAATCGAACCAGCGACCTCTTAGTGCATGGGTCAATGCTCAACCACTGAGCCACACCAGCCAGGCTACAACTTTTTTGACTCAAGTGTGTTCAAATGGATCTTTGAATATCATGGAATATTCAAATAAATTGATACCAGATCAATGTTATCAAATATTTGTAAGTACATGCAATATTAAAATTCTCCACATTATAAAAGCCAAAAAAAAAAGTTCCAAAATTCCAGGGAGCTGTCCTTCTTACATGAAATGTATATCCTCTACCACTCCATATTTAGAAACCTAAGCTGGAAGGAAGGGATTAAGAAATACAAATTGCCAGTTATAAAAAACAGCCACGGGAATGTAAAGTACAGCATAGAGCATACAGTCAATAACATTCAAATAACTGTGGATGGTATCAGACAGATACTAGACCTATTAGGGTGATCACTTCGTAAGCTATATAAATGTCTAACCACTATGCTATGTACACCTAAAACTAATATATATGTCAACTGCAATAAAGAAATACATTTTAAAATTAAATAATAAAAGAATCCAAAAGAAGAAAAAAGCAAAATAAAAATAGACTTACTGGAAGGGAATGGCTGCGGTCTGCGCCTTCTCGAAGGAAAAAGGGAATCTGCCACAAATATCATACACTGCAAACATAAACATAAGAAGTCCAAATGTGTGATATATGATAAAGGTAGTGCAACTACATAAAATTATCAAATTCTGAAATATTTTTCTTCCTAATAATCTGAAAATAAAGTACTTACAAGTCCTAATAATAGTCCTGAAAGCAGAGTTGCTAAAGCAAAAACTGTATACGATCCCCACACAGGTAATCCAAGGTCCTCAATAAAATAGTTATGGCAAGTCTAAAATAAAAAATAAAAAAACATAACCTAAAAACCTGGTCATTTAAAAAACGTCATACTGTCACAAATGTTTAAAATAGACATAAAATTTTCGCCCATACCCTGATCCACATAGATAGCTGAAAGAGTGCCGACATACTACTCATCCTAAAATAAAAGAGAAATGATTAAAAAAATGAGTAAGATGTACATACAGCTTTGAAGTTGAATATATGTATGTATAGCTTTGTCTTCTATTTCTCACTCTATAATTTCCCCAGCAGGCCAGATTTTTATTGCTGGTATTTATCAAGATTAGTAATACAGCACTAATTTCAAGACTGTAATAAGACAACTTATTAATGAAAATGAAGTTTCTGAATTGTTGCCACTATGTGATGTCCTCATAAATAAAACAATTTTTTTCCCTTTTCCCCTAATGCATTGACATTAACCTTTCACCTTTCATCAGATGACTTCTCCAATGTACTCTGAGTACAAGCTCTATGGAACCAGTTAGTTAAAGTCAGGCATACTGTAAAGCAAATGGCTCCAAATGAGCAGAGAATCCCTTCCTGTGCAGAGCCTGAAGAACTAAGAGCACTTACTGGGTGGATCCTCCCCACATGAGAATTACCCCCCTTCTATATAAAAACTTACAATAGCATTAATTTCATGCAGTTTAATAATATACAAAATAATTACATAGGAAACAAATGCTAAGTCATCACATAAGTAAAAATAATGATTATTTTTACATTAAAGTCAAGTAGCTTAGATAGACAGAAAAAGGCATGCTCTAAAGAAAAGAGAAGGGTTTGTTGGCTCCCAACTGTCTGCCACCAACACATAAGTCAAAGTTCCTATAGGCAGGATGACCTGATTCAATTGTCAATCACTGGGTGAGTGAACCTGCTGAGCTGACTGACACGGGGAGTGTCCCTTATTTAGTCCACCAATAAACAGGTACGGACTGCTGCCCTGAGGATTCAAGAGACTTACAAGCAACCCCCTTCTTCTACCAAAAGGGTAAGAAGACTCATTTATGAGATTTCAAAAAATAAAAATCAGTTACATTTTCAGTTCAACATAGAAAGGTACTTTAATCACGGTGCTTTTGTTTAAAATGCAAAATGGGAAGAGGAACAAGGAATTGAAAACATAAAGCACTGTGTAGCCTCACTATAGTCTGAACTAATTAGACTCTATCACGAATACTAGGTGCCTTATTTGGGTTGGACAAGGTGATTCATTGGGGGAATGCTGACAGCTAAAGGACAAATCAATTCAGATATTTTTCACAGAAGGAGAGGTGCTAAGGGAAAAGTGGAAAAGGTAACTTCTCCTTCAAAATGTTTAGGGTTGATCTCTTCCTGACTCCCAGAATCCAGAGCATTTTTTATCTCTTATACCACTGGAGTCCCAATGCCCCATAATCCAATAGCATGTGTGGTAAGGGAACAGGAAGAGATAGCTTAGCCACACCAGGATAAGTCCATGGTGACCTCGGCAAAACTCAACACTCCTGGAAGTCTTTGAAATGACCCATGAAGCATTGCACCCCAATGGTTAGAATGAAATACACATGCTATCTCCAATCCTTACTGCTCCATAGCAAGCTGCTGCCCTCTAGTTATATGTAAAGCTCAGTGGTTAGTCATGCCATTGGAGTTATTAGGGTCATTGTTCATCCATCTATTCAAATAAAAAGTTATCATACAAAATCAAGAACTAAAATCTAAAGATGGCACAAGTAGATATGTGTTGAGGCTTCTCAAATATTAAGCTCAAATGATGGCTTTATGCATTACACCATTAACTCTTAGGAGAATCATTTAACTTTTCATGATACAAATGACCATATCTGTTGAGTTAAAACTTTCCTGAAAAGCTTTCAACTTAACTCTATAAAATATCTCCTAGCTTAATAAGAATCAAAGTGTCTGTTTAATTTAGAAAACAGACTCAAAAAAATACCACATAAGCCCTGGCCAGTTTGGCTCAGCGGTTAGAGCATCGGCCTGCGGTCCCGAGAGACCCAGGTTCGGTTCCCGCTATGGGCACGTACCTCGGTTGCAGTTTGTCCCCGGCCCTGGTTGGTCGTGCAGGTGGCAGCCACTCGATGTGTCCCTTTCGCATCAATGTTTCTCTCTCTCTCTCTCTCTCTCTCTCTCTCTTCCTCCCACTCTACCTCAACAAAAAAATGGAAAAAGTGTCCTCGGGTGAGGATAAAAAAAAAATACCACATAAGATATACTTGAAGAGTCCAAGTATACTTTATTTACATGAAATATAATTATCTGTTCCAATTAAAACTGAAATAAATAAGAGAAAAATTCCTCATACTTACAGAACAGAACCTGGACCAAACCATGATGAAATAGGCTCAATACTCTTCCACTCTTTTTCACTTATAAAGTTTATGAAGTCCTTCTTAGTCCTTGGACCCTGATAGCGCCTAAATTCACCATCTTTACAACTAAAGAGGATTAGAATTAAATATTAACCAGCACCAAATAAATAAACTTTGTATTTGTTTTTCTATTTCTTTAACCTCATTTTACAATTAATCCTCATATTCAAAATCATTAGCAATGCACAAGTAGCAAATTACATTATCAACTCATGACATCTTAGCCCCAAATTTAATTGAACAATAAGGTTATATTTTTATACAATCATAAGCCTTAAGACTGTTGTTATTATTCAAATAATAAAACTAGAAAACACAGTAAGTTGTTATATGTCAATTACATCTCAATAAAACTGGGGTGAGGGTACAGATTAAATAAATCTCAGAAAATGACTTTTAAGCCTTATACATATTACACATATTACATGAAAAGTTGTTAGAGTGCCTGATGCTTATTGCCAGTCATTGTTAAGCTGTAAGTTAAAAATGTAAGGCAATTTTCTGGTATTTTCAGTCATAACCACATCATCTCAGCCATCATGCCTTAATCACTGGAGACATCTGGTAAAGTTTCCCTTCGTCCCACTTCAGTGATTTTATTTTACAGTCTGCTGAGCATTCTTCCTGACATCCACCTTGTTTTTCCCATTCCCAATGTATGGAGCTCTGTACAGGGTCATAAATGTTCTCCTTGCTCCCACATCTTCACCATTCCCAAACTACCTTAAATAATACTGCCAGTCTAATCCTACTTAATTTTCACTTTTATTTTTATCACTAAAATGCAACAACTTTTAATAGTTCCCTACTTCCTACAGTAGGGTTCAAGGATCCTTTATCCATCCAGAGAAAAAAGACTACAAGCAAGCCAAAAAATAAAGTTTTGTGGGAAAAATGGCATTTGAGCTGTTTTTGAAGGACAGGTGGAGATTCCAAAAGGCAGAAGTTAGGGGAATGGGCATGATTAACAACATGACTAAAAGAAAATGAGCAGGAAATTCCAGCTAAGTTCAGGGGATGTTGAGAAGTGAAAAGGAGAAAGGAATCTGATTATAGCCACTTAAGGGGCCTATAGAGAAAAGCACTTATGGAGACAGAGAATAGACGTTTAAATAGATACAAAGGGAACAGGGAAGAATAAAACAAAAGTACAGGGAAACAGATTTAAACATGAAAAAAAAAAAAAAAAGGACAACAAAGAAAAGCAAAATACAGACACAAAGAATTGCCAATCTGTTGTTTTCATAACTTTAAATGAAGACAGCAGTACCTGGCATTTAACCCACCTGCCAAATGAGCACTAAGGTATAGAGAAGGTACACAGATTTGAGATTATCTATCCCTACTTTGATGATAAAGTCAAACTAAAAGCACTGATACTAAAGACTACAAAATCCTGTTCATTCTTTTTTCTTTTTAACATGTTTTTACTGATTTTTAAAATTTTTTAGAGAGATAGAAACATCGATCCGCTGCCTCCTGCATACCCCCTACTGGGAATCGAGCCTGCAACCCAGGCATGTGCCCTGACTGGGAATTGAACAGGGACCTCAGTCCATGGGACAAAGCTCAATCCACTGAGCCACACCGGCAGGGCAAAGACTTGTTCGTCCTGACTTAATGCCCAACCATTTCACCTACTATTATCCCCAATGTTGAGCAACACCACTTTCTTAGCTAATTTTTTTAACATACCATATTCCTGTTTATGACTACATAAGAGATTGCCCTCAGGATAGAATGCTTACTCTGTGCTTTTGAAAATTCTACCTCCAAGGTTGCATTTAAACCCCATAATCTCCATGAACCACTCTAGTTTGGTGATTTTTTTCATTACCAAACTTCCTACAGGACTTACAACTCTTGAGCTCAAAACTATTTACTATGCTGAAGAGTAGCAAATCATTTCATGTGAACATCACTTTCAAAAACAATTACAAATCTTTGAGATCCGGGACTGCTTTGTGCATCATTCATCTATCTAAAGGCACCTAGGAGTTAATAAGCCTTCTAATATACTTAATGAATATAATGCTCTTTAAATATGATCCAGACCAGAGGCCTACTATTCTGATTATACTATGCTGCATCCTTCTCCATAACTACCAAATCTTCAAATACTTACTGATAAACAGTAGGAAGAGCAGTTATGATAAATCGTCCACTCAGTCCTGCAAATGATAAGATTAGAAATAAATACAAGAAAGAACAGAATACACAGTAGGTTTTATATGGGCCAATTGCTTGCTACTTAAAAATTAATTCTGATTTAAATACTAATAGGAGAAAAAATATTAAATTATACCTAAAAATAATCAAGCTTTATAACATGAATAAAAAAATCCAATTAGCCCTGGCCGGTTTGGCTCAGCGGTTAGAGCGTTGGCCTGCGGTACAGAGAGATCCGGGTTCGGTTCCCGCTAAGGGCACGTACCTCGGTTGCAGTTTGTCCCCGGCCCTGGTTGGTCGTGCGGGTGGCAACCACTCGATGTGTCCCTTCACATCGATGTTTCTCTCTCTCTCTCGTCCTCTCTCTCCCTCCCGCTCTGTCTGAACAAAAAAATGCAAAAATGTCCTCGGGTGAGGATAAAAAAAAAAAAAAAAAAATCCAATTATTTACATAAAGCAACTTAACAATAATACTACACAGTATCTCAACTAAAAAGTGATTTACGTATAAACACTTGATCAATTATACCAGTTTGATAAAACTACCAGTGATGAGTCATGGGACAATCAACAGTAGTCTGTCTATATTATAAAGGTCTAAAATCAAATCAAATTACATTTGACATTCAGAAAACAAAGGCTGTGTTTAAACAGTTAATAAAAATGGAAAACATTATGAATCATAAGCTGGACAATAACAGCAGCATCTAACGTTATTATTAACCAAATGGTAAGATTAATACAACAGAGAATTAATCTCTCTGTCTGTTTTATTATTTATAAGATGGGAGGTTACCTACCTCACAAGGTTGTGTAAGGATTACATAATAAATGCAAAACACCTGAAATAGTACCTGTAATTGGCTAGTACTCAATATTAGCTATTATTACCCTCTGGAATAGGGAAGAGTCAAGAAGCCAGGTATATTGTTACCAAGAACAGGTGAGATGAGGCTGGACCAAGAAAGGAGCATTCTTGAGGGCAGGACCCGCAACTTGTCTAGGGGGCCAAGTCAGGAGTGTACTTAACCCCACAACCATGTAGGCTTTGTAATTAAGAGCCCATATCCTCAAATTACAGGTATTAAATTTGGAATCCAATTACAGAGATTCAGACCACTTGTCAAGAAATATGACCTTGACTCTACAAAGAACCTCAACTACATGTTTCTTATCCTGAAGCTTGATATAGATGCAAATGGTGGCTTGGCCACTGTCCACCTGGACCACAGTGTTCTAGGACTTCTTAAAGACATTTTGCATGCTAGACTGGGGCCAAAGCAAAAAGGATCAGAAGCAGTTATGTGGGGAAGATGTCTACAAGGTCCCTTAGAGCACATAAAAGGAATGAGCTGCACACAAAACCAAGGAATCTGCTTTTTGCAACCATCAAGGAGGTGGGCAAGTCGGCTTAACTAGCTGTGGACAATTTGTTTTCAAAACCTAATGAAAGGTAGAGTTAAGACCACATAATGTGGAAAACAAGATAAACATATCAACCCAACATACAAAGAAACAAAACTATCCAAAGACTTACAGTACCTGGCTGCTCTGTAACATCCACTTTTGCAACATTAACCTCAAGATCTTCTCCCCATTCAGCAAAACTTTCCCATTCTGGTTGAAGATTTTGACAAGCAGGACACCATGGAGCAAAACTGAGAATATATTTAAAATAAAAAGTTAAGCATTCAAATACAACCATATTGGAATAAAAATTCTAAAATGTAATTTGTGAAGAATATTTTATACTAAAAGCAAGATAGCAGAGTGGTTAATTTTGTGAAAATGAAAAAGTTTTAAATGTGGGCCTAACACTCTGGCAATCAAGAACTATGAATTGATGATGCTAATCACATAAAAGTAATTCTACGAATAAGTTAAGACAAAAGGACTTTTCACATGCAAAACACCTCTTTTAAAAAACCTTTGGATTTCTCTATTAAAATGTGGGGTCACCAGAAAGCTTAAAGCCAAATTTGGAGTTTATCAGTTTCAATAATTTTATGCTGCAGGAGTCACAAATGGCAACATGCCAGTATGAGAAAAATAGGAAGCACCCAGGGCTGTGAATAAAGAAATATGCACCCCATCTTAAGCAGGAAACCACTACTCAGGATGACTGCAACAAGGGATTGCTGGCCCAGTATGGCAGACAATTCTTACATAAAAGAAGCCGAAAAACCTGCATTTTTATATAAAAATGTTACCTCAAAATGCAAGCCACAAACACTAAGCAGACCAAACAAAATTCTTCTGGCCAGCCTTTGTTCAGCCTGTTTTTAAAACCTTGGGTTTACAAATCTATGGCCATGCATATTAGGATTTTAATTACTCTTCGAGTATTCAGCATTTTTCAAAGCCCCAATTTTTCCCTAAGATTTTATTTTTCCACTTTATTGTATATTATCTTATAATCTGTCTCAGTTTTCTTTTAATGGAACCAGGAAAAATGAAGCCTATACCTGTTAAAAACAAGAGCAGTTTCTGTGCTCCATTATATATAATACTTGACTTATTAAAAATAAAACCCCTAAAAGTAACAGGCATTGTGGAACAAGACTAGTACCATACATAAAAGCCAAAATTCATAACAACAGCATTACAATGAAAATCTCTGTAACAAAACTTGTGATTAGGATGGATTTAATGTAGATAACTGAGACTTGTAATAAGTAGCATTAGGACTACTAAATCCCTTTACCAAGTCCCTTTTGCTTTTTAAATACTTTTTTAAAGACTGCTTCAAAATCAGTAACCTATACAGAAAAAAAAGTACTATTGTATACTCAAGTTTCACACAGATGCTCTAATTCAAATCACTTATACTTCACTTCTGACTGATGTATTTATATAGTTGGATTAAACTGAGTTTTAGAAAATTTCTTCAGTAATGCTTGACTGTATTTTGCACATAAATTCAAAATCACTGTTGTTTAGCACATTACTTATGGAACAATATTTTATGGGCATACTCTAAAACAACTTCCTCATGACAATGAAAACTAAATGCTGTTGCTGTTATATTTCCTCTCCCCTGCAACTTCAATAAAAATTCTTGTCATTGAGTTACAGATTATATGCATACTATAAACATTTTTCCCTACCTTATCCTCCATGTAAATGTTCTATGCCTTTTTTAATTTTATGATTCAAGAGTTACTGATTTGGTCTTCTGGGGCTTACTCTTAATAATGCCTACTTCCACCTGCCGCCTAAACTGGCAACCCAACAATACAGGAAAACACTCACTGGAACCTTAAGGAAGGGAGGTGTTCTAATTACTGCATGCCTACTCTGTGGTAGGCTCTGGGAACTAAAAGGAGGTAGTATAGCAATATCTGGACAGGTTAATTAGGTCTTTAGGTTATCTGTCTTTCATCTATAAAATGTGGGAAATAATACCTACCTTACAAAATTTTGAGAGAATTAAATATAATAATGTATGTAAAGTGCTTAGTAGTGTCTAGTACACAATTAACACTCAATAATAGTGTTTTTTTCTAATATAACTAATACCAGTATCAATAATACTGCCACCAACTACCAATTTAGAAACTAAAGCAAAGGCAGTTATTTTCTACAGATGCAGAAGGCCCTTATTACAAGGGAATCGCCACAGACACCATGATTTTCTTCTAACAGAGTTTACAATCACACTCACACATTAATTTTATCTTTTAATGTAGTACCACTTGGAGAGCATTAAGAGTCACAACCCAGGACATTAGGTACTCTGCAAAAACACACACGCAAAGGAAAAATGAGAGGTGTAAAAAGAGAAACGCAATGAAAGAAAAAATGATAAAGGGAAGTTAGATTTTAAAATAGCCCAACCCGAATTTACTTAGCATTTAAAATAAAAATGCACCTGATCCATAAAATAAAATTTAAAACGAAGAGTCCCAAATTCCAACGCTATAAATGGACCACCTTTCAACGAAAATTGGACAAAAAGAATTTGAGGTTCTGCTCAAATTCCTCTTTTGTAAAAATTTGGTGACAATAAGACTAGGAGTGCTTTTGTGAAAGGCCACTCTAAAATAAATAACTGTATAGGAACTAGGCACACCAACCACACACTAAGCCATGAATTAAAGTTGAGGGAAGGAGACGCAATTCCGTGGGCGCACCGCAGCCCGCCACGAAGCCTGGAGCCGCACGTTCAGAAGAAACTTCACATTCCCGGGTGGAAACGAGGAGGGGGTGGGACCGAGCCGGCGGCTGGTCCGCAGGAGTTTAGGATCTGGAGAAGACGGGGCTGAGGGCTCCGCAGCGAACAGTGAGCGGCAGCCCCCAGGAACCTGGGCTGCGCAAGGGGTGGGGAGTGGGGGTGAAGTCGGGTGTCCACACTTGAACCTAGGACCCCGGTCCGCCCGGCCCACCGAGGGGGTCCCGAGACAACCGCCCCGCGCTCACAATTCTATCATCCATTCTCCTTCCAGCAACTCTCTCCAGTTCTCGTCCGTGATGACGCGCACGTCGCTGCGCCGCCCGTGGGTCCAGGGAGCCCTACAAAGCAACAGCACCAGTACGGCCACGGGAACTACGAGACTCCCGGGGTTCGCCATGTCGGCCGCTCGCCCACCCCACGGCAAGCGCGGCAGCCCCACCTCTGCACACTAACTCCTCACTTCCGCCCTCGCGGGCCGATCTGCTCATGCGCAAGACCGCGCGGCCGGACGCGCGCGCGCGCGCCCAGAGGACTCTCAACGGGCAGGAGGAGGCCCTGTCCTAGTTGGTTGAGCGGAGAAGGAGGGAGGCGTGCTTATCCCTAGTGCGCATGACAGAAAAGCGGTCTCCTCTCCGTTAGATGTGCCCCAGTACTGCTGGGAAGCAAAGGAGCGACCTGGAGGTGGGGTATGGGAAGTGGGCAAGGCCTTGGAAAGGAAGGCTTTCAAAGTATGCATCAGGATGTAGCACCCAATGATCAGCATTTTATACTCTCAATACCGCAATTTCCAATTCAGTGCCCTTCAGAATTTTCATTTGTTTCCCTTGGAAATTTTTGTAGTAAAGCTAATGGATGTATAAATGAGTTCGAATGTTGGTTTACTTCTGGGGGATTATAAACTGGAAAGGTGCACATGGGAACTTTATGAGATACCCTTTATATGCTTTGTCATGGTTTGAACAGTAGCTAGAAGGGCGTAAACAAAGGTAAAAAGCCAATGGAGCTGTACATGTTAAGATCAGTGCACTTTATGTTATCTCAGTTTTTTAAATCAATACAGAGATGCTAGATCAGAAATCAAAATAGAACAACTGCAAATCAAAACGTGCATTGTCTTCAGAAAGTATTAATTATTCGAATGAAAATGGTTACCATTACACCTTCTCACCTCACATTCTCTCCTAAACTCTCTCCAATTGGCCACTTCCCCAACCCTCAACTGAAAGGCCCTTTTTAGGACTCTATCTGCCTGTTAACAAAGCCAATTGTTTCTTCCAGTACCCATTTTACTGTCAGCAGCAATTCACAATCACCAAGCTCTCTCTGAAATGCAAAATTTCTTGCCTTTCCTTCTGTGGTGCCTTGCTTATTTTTTCTCTTTCCTCACTAACTACTCTTTCTGAAACTTCTTGGCTACTCCTCTTCTACTTGACCTCCGGAAATAGCTTGTTGCAGGATACTGTACTGGTCCCCTCTTCTATATCCACACATTCCTTCCAATAACCTCAATCCTGGCCCTGACCCTTCTGGGAACATTGGACATATATTCAACCCTTTGCTAGACATCTTTTGGGTATCTAATAGACAGCTCACACGTCACATGGCCAAAAAATAAAATTCTTGATTCTCCCTCTTCTAATCTTCTATTTCATTAAAAAGTTCCAAATTCCATCTGGTTGCTCAAGACAAAAATGTACCTTTTAGTTCTTTATTACTCTCTTTTTTCACTCCCTCCTCATGTGTTCCATCAGCAAATTCCATGAGCTCTACCTCCAAAACATATCCTGAATCTGACCACTTATTACCTCTTCCACAGCTAACACCTTAATCCATGGTTCTGTTGTCTCTTGCCTGAACTACAATAATAGATTCCTAACTTATCTCCCTGTGTCCTTTCTTGCATCTCTAAATATGATCAAGCCATTTCTCCTTAAAACATTTTAAGTGCTTCCCACTGCACTTAAAATTAAATCCATACTCCTTAAATGCCAGGGCCACTTATGTTTTCATCTAAGAGTTCTATAGTTTTACTTAGGTCTTTGATCTATTTTGAGTTAATTTTTATATATGGTGTTGGATTGGGGGTCCGACTTCATTCTTTGCATTCTGTTGCATTGTCCCAACACAATTTGTTGCAAAGACTTCTTTCACCATTGCATGTCCTTGGCACCCTTGTCCCACATGAACAGTCCACAGATGTAGGAAGTTTGGTGTGTTGTTTTTTTCTTTATTGATTTTTTTTTGAAGGGAGAGGGAGAGAGAGAGAGAAACATTCACGAGAGAGAACATCTATTGACCACCTCCTGCATGCCCCCCAGTGGGGATAGGCCCACAACTTGGGCATGTGCCCAGACTGGGAATGGAAGTGGCAACTTGGTGCATGGGTCGATGTTCAACCACTGAACCACACCAGCAGGGCCGGGAAATGCAAATTAAAACTACAATGAAATAACACCTCATACCTATAAAGATGGCTACTATCAACAAGACAAAAAATAGCTCTGGAGAATGTGGAGAAAAGAGAACCTTTGGACACGGTTGGTGAGAATGTAAATTGGTACAGCCATTATGGAAAACAATATGGATATTTCTCAAAAAATTAAAAATAGAACTACTTAAAGATCCAGCAATCCTACTTCATTGCAGCAATATTCATAATAGTCAAGATACAGGAACAACCTAAGTGTCCATTATCAAATGAATGGATATAGACAATGTAACACACACACACACACACACACGCGCGCGCACACACACACGTGTGCGCGCGCACACACACAGTAAATATTATTCAGCCTTTAAAAAGAAGGAAATCTTGTCATTTGTGACAATGAATGTGGAGACATTATGCTAAGTGAAATAAGCCAGACCCAGAAAGACAAATACCCATGACATCTCATATCTAAAATCTAAAGAAGGCTCATTCTTAGAAGCAGAGAGTAGAACAGTGGTTTTTAGGGGTTGAGGGGTGAAAACAATGGAAAAATGTTGGCCAGAGGGTACAAGTTTCAGATATGCAGGATGAATAAGGTCTAGAGGTCTAATGTACAGCAGGGTGAGCACAGTTAATAATACTGTACTGTATATTTGAAATTTGCTAAGAGAGTAGGTCTTAATTGTTCTTAACCTACCTCCCACCTACCTTAGTAACTATGTGAGGTGATGGGTATGTTAATGAGTTTGACTGTGATAAACATTTCACAATGTATACATATATCAAACATCATATAGAGCACCTTAAATATATACAGTTTTTATTTCTCACTTATACCTCAATATTAAGCTGGAAAGAAAATATGGGTAAAATGAAAATGTTACCCATTTATGTCTGTGTCATCTCCACATCTATACTATAAGCTATAAAGGACAGATTGTGACTTCCAGGGCTCACTAGAATCCAATATTGTCAGGGTGTCTTGACCAGAGTATGGGCTCCATCAACATCTGATTCTCTTTTCCTATATCTCATCCTCCTTCCTCAGTGCCTAGCACAGTGCTATAGTCACACTTGATACTACAAAAATATTACGGGAGGATGATAAGGACACACATTTATTTCAGAGTTTTATTTATTTATAAATAAATGCTGTTCTTTTCTCTTTTATTATTATTTTTTTCTTTATTGACTTTAGAGAGCAATAAGAAGGGTATTGGGCCCACAACCTGGGCTTGTGCCCTGACCAGGAATCGAACCAGTGACCTCTTGGTGCATGGGTCGATGCACAACACTGACCAGGTATTTGGTGTGTTTTATACCCCTGACTCTTTAGTTCTATTGATCTGTATGTCTTCTGATGCCAGTACCACACTGTCTTCATTATTGTAGTTTTGAAATCAGGAAGTGTGAGTCTTCCAACTATGTTCTTCTTTTTCAAGATTATTTTAACTATTCTGAGACCCTTGAATTTCCATATAAATTTAAAAATCAGCTTGTCAATTTCTATTAAAACAAAGCAAGGTGGGATTTTGTGAGAGACTACATTGAATCTATAGATCACTGGGGAGTATTGCCATTTTAATAATATTCAGACTTTCAGCACATTAACATGGGATGTTTTTCCATTTGTTTAGTCTCCATACATTTTTCAGCAATGTTGTATATCTTCCAGATTATAAGTTTTGTTTTTCTTGTCTATTTCCTGTTCTTAGGGGGAATAGATTAAGTTTTTCATCACTAAGTTTGAAGTGAGTGTGGGTTTTTCATAGATGCCCTTCCTAATGTTGAGAAAGTTTCCTTCTATTCCTTGGTGGTTGTGTATGTTTTTCATGAAGGAATTTTGAATGTTTTAGCATGCTTTTTCTTCATTTATTGAGGTGATCATGTGTTTCTCTCCTTTATTGTTATGGTATATTAATTAATTTTTGGATGATAAACCAATCTTGCATTCCTGATATAAATCCAACTTGGTTATGGTGTTTAGTTCTTTTCATGTATTGCTAGATTCAGTTTGCTAGTATATTATTGGGGACTTTGAACATCAATATTTATAAGAAATATTGGTCTGTAGTTTTCTTATGTCTTTGTCTGACTTTGGTACCAAGATAATACTGGCCTCATAGAATGAGTTGGGAAGCATTCCCTCCTTTTCTAATTTTTATTTTTTTTATCCTCACCTGAGGACATTTTTGCATTTATCTTCAGATAGATAGGGAGGGAGAAAGAGAGGAAGAGAGAGAGAGAGAAACATTGATGTGAGAGAGACACATCGACCAGCTGCCACCCACATGACCCCAACCAGGGCTGGGGACAAACCGCAACCGAGGTACATGCCCTTAGGGGGAACCGAACCGCACCTCTCAGGTCCGCTGCCAGCCAGGGCTCCTTTTCTAATTTTTTAAAATGATTGTGGTAGAAATTCAGCTATGACGTCATCTGGGCCAGGGCTTTTCTTTGTGGATAGTTTTTAAATTGCTAGTCCAATTTCTTGTTATACATTTATTAATATTTTCTTTCTTTTAGAGTCAGTTTTGATAGTTTGTGTCCATTTCATCTAAGTCATCTAATGTATTAGCCTACAGTTTTTCATAGTATTTCTTTATAATCATTTTTATATCTGTAAGGTCAACAGCAATGTCTCTTCTTTCATTCCCAATTTTAGTAATGTGAGTCTTTTTATTTTTCTTGGTCAGTTTAGCCAGAGGTTTGTCACTTTTGTTTCTCTTTTCAAGATATCAACTTTTAGTTTTGTCAGTTTTCTCTATTTTATTAAAATTCTTTCTTTCTTTATTTCCTTCCTTTTGCATACTTTGAATTTAGCTTGCTTCCCACTTCCACCCAAAGTGTTTTAAGATGGAAGATTAGGTTATTGATTTAACATGTTCCTTCTTTTTTTTTTTTTTTTTTTTTTTAGTGTAGGCTTTGAACCTCTAAGTTTCCTTCTAAAACTGCTTTAGCTATGTCCTATAATTTTTGCTATGTCATTTCATTTATGTCAAAGTTTTTACTAATTTTTCTTTTTATGTCTTCTTTGTCCATTGGATATTTAGAAATGTGTTGTTCATTCCCACATATTTGTGAATTTCCCAAAAATCTTTCTC